TATATATATATATATATATCAAAAAATTAGACGTTTTGATGAGCTGATTGTAAATAATGATATAAATCATACAATACAATTAGATTAGAAATTTGAACAACTAATTTCAACCCAATTTTACTCCATTGAGTGTGTGTGTGTGGATGTCACCAAACTAGCAAACATTTATATAGAACTTGACTCAAGGCATAAAAAAATACATAGATGAATGTTATAAATTATTTACAGCATAATCTATTCTACCCAATCTTGAGCCTTATTTTATCGTTGGATGGTGCATGATATTCATGAAATATTACTATACACATAAACAAATATATAATATAAAAAACTAAGAAACATAAAGCTGTGAGCCATAATATTTGTTATCATCAAAAATATAAACTAATGAGCTCAAGTTACAACAATCTCTCCCTTTTTGATGATGGAAAACTTTACTCGTTGAATTTACAAACTAAAAAAAAAATTCTCCTAATCTCACACCCACTAAGATAATTATATTAAAAGAAAGGTAAACATAATTTTTAATTATTATTATTATTATTTTAAATTTTGAAATAAGATAACAAAAACTACAAGATGAACAAACTCAATTACAAATACAACTAGCCAACTATGTTCTCCCCCCTTTGATATTATCAAAAAGATGAGAAAAAATCAAAGAAGGAATAAAACGGGACAAAGAAAAGAAACTAACAAACATACAGACCCTGATCAAATGGAGGTGGAGATGATGTATTAGAAGAATCAAGTAATTTCAATGAACTTTCTTAGAATGAGAAAGTTACCTCAATATACTTAAATTTCCAAGATGGGCAATTTAGTCTTTTATTATTAAATTGCTAAAGTTGATCTCCTATACAAATAATTAATATATGCTTTCAAGTTTCAGTAAGCACTTAAAAATTAGTACTCGAAAAACATCCCATTATTGAAACCCCATTTTATTAAACTTCTTTTTCTCAATATCTTTTTGTAAAACTCTATTATATGTAAGTAAAAATCCAATCAAATGAGGCCTAACTATTTTCCCCAATTTGAACCAAAAGTGGTGTAATTAAGCCTGATACATCATCAAAAAATTATCTTGATTGGGCACGAATCTTGAGTCAAAAACTTCCAAAACTAAATCTGGGATCATTCGAACTCTGATTTTAGCAAACTTGTAGTCGAACTAAACATCTCAAAAATATGAACCCAATGACACCAAATTCGACTCAATCCGAGCTCAAACGGGTCCAAATCATGGGCCCGAAGCACTGTTGGAAGGTTCAAACCACGATTTGGATTACCAAATGGTTTTCAAACGTGACATGCTTATGATCGAGTCAAATGGCTCAATGAGACAAATCCAATGAGCCCAAGATCACGAAATTCCGACATCATTAAGACCTTCAAATGTTTAGCAAATGGTCCACGATCAAGGGATTCAATATCGTCCGTCATCCAAACGACTCCCCATTTACCCTTGATCTTCCTCCTGAAATTACGAGATGTGCCAAGAGGGGGGTGAATTGGATATTTAAAAACTTCTTTAATGAAATGAAAACTCTTTTTATAACTTGATGCGGAAGCGAATTACAATCACAATGAAAAGATAAATTATCAATTTCACCCACCAATTAATCGCAATAAAAATGAATGCGAAAATAAAGTGTGAAAATAATAAAGGAAAGAACACACCGATTTATAGTGGTTGGATAAAATCATGACCTATGTCCACTCTCCGGAGGCACCCTCCGAGTATTACACTAAACCTTTAGTGATTCTACTTTAGCCCCCACAGCTAGGTGGAGAAGCCCTTACAAAATTACTTCCACCTTCCCCGGTGTGGTGAAGGAGCCGGGTCCTTTGACACCAAAGAGATCTTCTTCTTCTCAAAACTTCCCTCAAGACAAAACTTGAATCCGATGGTATTGAGGTACAAGCTCGCCGGAGCAACCATGTGAAATCTCCTTCACACTCCCTTGAAACCCCCTCCAAGGATCTTCTCCCTCTTTCAAACTCCACCCTTTCCTCTCTCTCTTTCTAGTTCTATATTCAAGTTTTCTCCAAAAAAAAATGAAGCTTCAATGGATGCCAAAATACTCTTACAAAGTCTCATAACAGTACTTAAATAAAGGGCTAAAAAAAAAAAAACCTCAATTCAATCGTCAAATATCGTACCATACGATCGCAAGATCGTCCAGTACGATGTGCAGAAATTGACATGTTAGTACTGTATGATGTTCAGTTAGTACTGTACAAATAGTTCAATTGCTTGTTCATACTATACGATGTCCAATACGATGTACTGTACGAATAGTTAAATAAAAATGCAGTTTGTTCACGACGAAGCATAGGATGGCCAAAATCATCTCTATTGATCGTACAATACGATCCAGTTCGTACCTTTAAGATTAAAACATCAAAATTAAGCCGTTTTGATTGACTAATCACAAGATTAAATTAGGTAATATTTTAAACATTGCATAGAACGATCATGTTCGTACAATACGATTAGAACAACTTTTCAAATTCAATTTTTTACCTAATTTAATGGACGTCGGTCTTTCTAATTATAACATATCGTCCAATATGATGTGGTGTTCATACTGTACGATTAGTTATATTTTTAAAATATTTTTTTAGGAAATAAAATATTTTAATTAATTTTTGTTACACCAGATCGTATAATATGATCCAGATCATACATTACGATTTACAGAAAATTAAAATATTTAAAAACATTTTTTGCTCCCCCTGTGAGTGTGCACGATCATCAATCTAACATACATCATTATAAGGCTTGACTCAAGAAATAAAAATAACAGACTCATTTAATATAACTAATTCTACACAATCTTGAGTCTTGAATCTTCAAAGAATGGTGCATGATGTACTTGAAATATTAGTCAACACACAAACAAATATGCACTGCAAACACTATGAGAGATAAAAGATTAATCAATATTATTTGTTATCATCAAAATCATAAACTCAAAAGTACGAGTTGCAACTCCTCCTATTTACGGGCAATGCCACTCTAAGAAATCTATAAATAAACCCCTCCTTTATCTTAAAAAGAAAAACCTAAGCCTAAGGAGAAAGAGAGAGATTGATGATCGCTCTTGCCTCCTCGACCACCGCCTGGAGTTCCGTCGGACCACCACCTGATGCCTGGAATTTTATCGGACCACCACTTGAGGCCCTAATCTCTGCCATACCACAACATGAGTTCTTAAGTTCTACCGGACAACCACTTAAGGCTGTGAGTTACGTCGGACCACCACTTGAGGCCCTAAGTTCAGCCGAAACACCACCTGACGCCCTGAGCTCTGCCAGACCACCACATAAGGCCATGAGTTCCACCGAACCACCACTTGAGACCTTGAGTTCAGCCAGACCACCAATTGAGGCCCTGAGTTCCACTTGACCACCAATTGAGGTCTTGAGTTTCGCCGGACCACCACTTGAGGCCCTAAGTTCTGCCAGACCACCACATGAATCCCTAAGCTCTATCGGACCACCACCTAAGGCTCTAAGTTTCGCCGAACCACCATGTGAGGCCATGAGTTCTACCAGACCACCACTTGAGGCCCTGAGTTTCGTCGGACCACCACTTGAGTCTCTGAGCTCTGCCAGACCACAACTTGAGGCCTTGAGTTCTGCCAGTCCACCATTTAAGGCCCTCAGTTCCATCTGACAATCACTTGAGGCCCTGAGCTCCGCCGGACCACCACCTGGGCCCAGACCTCTATCAGACCACCACGTGAGGCCCGGAGTTCTGCCCAAACTACCACCTGACGCCCAAAGTTCTACTAGACCACCACTTGATGCCTCGAGTACGCCTGGAGTTTTGCCAAACCATCCCTTGAAGCCTAGAGTTCCGTCAAACCACCATCTGATGCTGGATTTCCGCCAGACCACTGTCCAACACTGAAGTTCTGCCAAACCAACTCCAGGTTACTAACTAATGCCCAAATTTTTAAGTAATACCAAACTTCTGCCAGTCAACCAAGTGACGCTGGACTTTCATCCCCATTTGTCACTATATTTCAACCAAATGGTTAACATTTGTAATTTGATCGCCCTCAGGGACGAGTCAACCAATTGTAATCTATCCAAAAGCTAGTGGAATCATTTCAGACTGGGCGAGGTCCAATGGGTTTTCCCTTTCCAGGATTTCTAAGTAAAAACATCTTGTGTTATCTATGTGTGAGCTAGATATCCGTACAATATTAAAACACGATATTTTAACTCTATCGCTACATATATTCTAGCCCGCAATAAAGCCCAAACAAATTAGGCATGAGCCTGTCTTTGCTTTGCTTCTCTCTTCTCTATTTCTTAGTGTCTTTTTCGCCTCCTTATCCTTAGGGGATGTTTGGCAACAAGCAAGATTTAACATTAGTAGGATTTATTAAATCATGTAAATCCGAATTTAATAAGTCCTACTAAAGTTAAATCCTAAAAACTAATTGACAACATAAATGTTAAAATCAGTGACACTGTTCGGCAATGTAATGTAGGATTTAAGGTAAACTCAAATTTAATTTATATTTTTATACTTATTATGTTATTCAATTAAATTTAATTCATCATCAACAAATTATAATTATAAATAATATAATTAGAAGTTAATTTAATTATTAAATAACTATACTAACAATATAATTTAGAATATTAATTATCTAATTTAAGTAATAGTATAATTTAGAGATATTAACTAGCTTAATTATCTAATTATTATTATTATAAATATTAATAACTTAACTAATTATGTAACTAATATTATTATTTTGAATAGTTATTTAAAATATTAACTATCTAATTAATTATTTAATTACCATTTATATTATTAATTAATTAATTAATTATATTATATTATATAATAATTCCTATTAATTAAAATGCATAGATCAATTCCAACCTAATTACAGTTTCTTTCTCTTTCGATAGCCTCATTTCTACGTTTTACTTTTCTCTCATCTGTTTCTTCGTTGCTGTTCAACTTGAGAGGTAGCGTTTTGAACGAGTAGCTAAAACCTTCTTCGCCTCCTTCGACGACTTTCCTTCCAGTTCACCGTTCTTTTTGTTGGACCGGAAGTACCGACGGGAGCTCGCTCGGTGTGAAGGTAATTAGCTTTCTCCCTTTCGCGCGCATCTTCAGCCAAATCCCTTAAATCCACCGAACTCTAGGATTTAGTAAATCCGAGATTTTTGACAAATCCGGCTGCTTTTTAGCATAAATCCTGCATAAATCCTGTTGCCAAACAGCCCCTTAGACGACCTCCATTCCTGTCGGATCGGAAGTTGGGTCTGTTCGCCGGCCCCTTGGATCGGAAGGAACGACGGGAACTCGCTCGCTGCAAAGGTAATCTTCTTTCTCCCTTTCGCGTCTTCGTCCAAATAACGGCCGATTTATTCCGCCGTATGTTTGGCTGTATTGGATTTGCGCTAAATCATGCTCAAATCCTGCGTAAATCCTATTTCCAAACAGCCCGATTACTCGTTGCGAAGGTAGAGCGAAACGTGGGATTTAACTCGCTGTGAGATTTAACGGTTCCCTAAATCCTGTTTGGCAGTATAAAATCCTGTATCCAACCTGCCCCTTCCCTTGTCCACGGCGATGGCGTCTTCGATGCTGAAGGCGGCCGCAGAGAAGGCCATGCCGGCGGCGAGGAAGCAGGCTCTGACGCTGACGGATGCTGCTGCGGCGCGAATTCGCTATCTTCTCGATCTCCGGCAACGGCCGTTTCTCCGTCTCGGTGTCAAGGCTCGCGGATGCAATGGAATGTCTTACACTCTTAATTATGCGGGTTTGTCCTCTCCCTCTCTTCTCCCTTATCTGCTCTCCTAATTCTAGTTTATTGCCTGTTTTTTTTCTTTTTCTTTTAATTATGGAGATGTTTAAAAATAATATTTAAAGTTTGGTGCCTTGATCTATTCTTTTTGCATATGGCATTGCTCTAATCAGTTAAATATTTGAACTAAGTAAAAAGACAAAATATTATAGGAAATATTTTGAAGATAAAGGGCTTTGAAATTGTAGAACAAAGTTTTTGTCTATGGTATGCAATTTTAGTGATAATCACATAACTAAAATTTAATCGAATATTGTTAAAAGATAAAATAATACTCAAATGTGAAGCAAGTTTGATCTATTATATAAAAAAATGGGGATCTTGATGAGGATTTGATTTAGATAATCAAGGTTTGTGGTTAAAATAAAGAATTTTATCAGGAGTGCTATGGGTTAACAAAATATCATGGAAACTCAAAATTAAATTGTATAAAATTGCAATTAGTTGGCTATATTGTATGTACCTTAGTAGGCCTTTAAAGAAGTCATTGATAACATAGATGTAAACAACAACAACATCAAGTATTTATCCCAATATGTGGGGTCGATTACATGAGGCATTTTTCTTCATTGTGTCCTATTAACCATCAAGTTCTTATTTAAATCTAATAAAAAAGTAATTTCTAATTTATTCTAATCAATTCTTTTCAAGTCTTCCTCTACCTTTTTTAACATAGGTCAGAACTAATACATCTTCTCTCTTCATCGGGTCATTGCAATGCTGATATTTTATATGAACAATCCATCAAAAGGCAACTCTCTCTGAGCTACTCCAACCTTTTCACGTACATACTCATTTCACATCTTGTCTCTAAGAGTGAAGCCACTCATCCACCTAAGCATCCTCATCTCTATAACACTTCACTTAATTTTATGCGTCTTTTAGTGGCCAAGATTCTGTTCCATAAAGCATTACAAGTATCACCACCATCTTATAGATTTTTTTTTTTAAGTTTGAGGGGTACTTTTCTATAACACAATAGACCTGTCGCATTCCTTCACTTCAACCATCCAATTTAAGTTCTAATAATATCCCTATCTATTTCACCATCACATTGAACAATAGACCCGAGATATCTAAATTGTGTACTCTTTTTAATGACTTGATCACCCAAAATCACAATCTCCCCACTAGATCCATTGTTACTAAAATTATTCTCAATATATTTAATTTTAGATATACTCAAACAAAAACCCTTAGACTCTAAAGTTGACCTCTATAATTCAAGTTTTGCTTCAACTCTCTCTCTAATTTTATCAACAAGAAAAATATCATTGACAAAAGCATACATTAGGTTATATCCTCTTATAAATGTCTAGTAAAAATCTATGACTAAAACAATAGATATGAGCTTAAAGCTGATCCTTGATATAGTCCAAATAAAATAGAAAATCCTTGGTCAAATCACTTTGTGTTTGAATACAAGTAACTGCTCCTTTATACATATCCTTGACGACTTGAATATAAACATTATTAACTCCTTTCTTTTCTAAAACTCTCCACAACACATCTCTTGAAACTTTATCAAATGCTTCCTCTAAATTTATAAATATCATATGTATATTCTCTTTATTCTCTTTATACTTCTCCTTCAAACCCCTCAATAAGCGTACTACTTCCATAGTAGACCTGCACGATATGAATCCAAATTGATTTTGAGAAACATTAGTATCACGTCGTAACCTATGCTTAATTATTCTCTCCCATATTTTTAATTTATGACATAACTTAATTCCTCTATAATTCTCACACTCTTGTGCATCACTTTTATTCTAAAAAATAGGAACTAACATACTGCTCCACTTATTTGATATCTTTTTAGTTTTCAGAATAATATTAAAATGTTTAGTAAGCCAAGAAAAATTTTGATCTCTTAAGCATTTTTTGCACATCTATTGGAATATATCAAGTCTAATTGTTTTTTCACACTCATTTTATTTAAACCACTCTAATTTCAATTTTACTAATACGATAAAAAAATAAAATCTCTACTATCTTTTAGGGTGTTAAAGTTAATAAAGTTTATCGTATTCTCACAATCTTTATTGAAAAGCTTATCGAACTATCTTATTTGCCAATGTTGAATATCCTCTTTTAATAAAAGTGCTTTTTTATTATTATATAAATCATTAACAGTTAAATTTTTTGCGTCATATCTTACTTTCTTAAGCTCTTTATGGTGTCTATATCCTTCCAAATTTCCTAAGCTTTTATATCTAAACTAATTTTTATAACTAACTTTCTTATTTTTTATCTTTTCTTGTATATTTTAATTTTACCATGAATTATTTTTATTATTATAAGTTTTTTCTTTTTATTTAAGTACATAATTTGTAATATTTTTAATATCACTAACTAGTTTTTCTCACATTACATTATATTCATCATGCACAATCAAAATCTTCAGAGTTTGAATCTTACTCTGAAAAATATTTTATTTAGTGTTGAAATCCAGTCGTTCCCAATGCAAAGGATCCGACGGACACAGAGATCAATCCGTGGGATGCTCTCATGGATCACGCCATAATGAAGGAACAAATTTAGGAAGTATTTTATTAGAAATTTTATGTAATATATTATTTTTTCATTATAATATCTTGTATAGATCTATAAATAGGGAAGATAGTAATGAATAAAGCCAAGCTTTTCTTCTCAAATCTCTTATTAGTAACATGGTATGAGAGCCAACGGCCTTCATTGCCGTGGAAGAAAGATCACTGAAGAAGAAAAAAGAAGTAAATCGGAAGCCGCTTGCGGGAAGAGGTCTTACCGGAGCCTAGCGGAAGACGAACCCAAAGCCTCGACGCAAGAAGAAGCCTCTCGGGAGAAGATGGCTCTCGGACGCTCCTTTTAAGGTCTTTCTGTCTCGCTCGGATACGCCAGACAGATGAAGTTGTGCCGAAGACGAACCCTTGCTAACGGAGGAGCAAAGCAGCCTGCGCCCTAACCACTATTCGATCAGAGTCTTTTTAAAGACTCGGCTCGGTTCGGTTTATTAACGGTTCACCTCCAAAAAAAAAAAGCTCTTATCGGTCTTTATTGCCGACAACTAAAAAATAGGAGGGATTTTTTCAGGAAGCCTTCATTGCTATCCAAGATCACATAGATAGTATTTATTACTATTATCATGTTAGAAGTCCATTCCTCCCAGAGCATTGATCAAATCGAGGAGTTGGTGGTGCACCAAGGACGAGGTGACCTCCACAGCATGCAACCGTCCTATCGTCTAAATGGGAAGAAGTACCTAAAATGGTCTCAATTTATGAAGACCTATTTGAAAGGAAAAGGGAAAATACACCACCTCTTTGAAGGAGGACCAAAAGAAGATCCTAAATTCGGGGCGTGGGATGAAGCAGACTCCATGATTATGTCATGGTTGTGAAATTCCATTACTCTGAAAATTAGCGATACATTTATGTTCCTTTCAACTGCAAAGGATATCTGGGATGCTGCCAGACAGACCTTCTCCCAAGCCCGTGATGCGGCTTAATTATTTGAAATTAAAGTCAAAGTTGGAAGCACAAAGCAGGGTAGTAAGACCGTGGCAGAGTATGCCACTCTTCTACAAAATTTATGGCAAGAACTTGATCACTATAGATGCATAGAAACTAGATGTCCGGAAGATGCTGCGATCCTAAAGAACTTTATTGAAAAAGATAGAGTTTATGATTTTCTTGTAGAACTAAATGCAAAATTTGACCAAGTTAGAGTCTAGATCCTCTGTAAAGAGGAGTCTCCATCACTCAATGAAACTATTTTTCTCATCCGCGCAGAAGAAAGCCGACGAGGAGTGATGTGAGAACCAAAGGTCGTGTAAAGTTCAGCAATGGTGATGAACAAAGAATCGTCATGAAAGGAGAAAGGTAAAGATTCTTCAAAATTCAAAGACAATGACTCATTTTGGTGCAGTTATTGCAAAAGGTCTAGACACACAAAGGAAACATGTTAAAAAATACATGGAAAACCCCCCAGCAAGGAGTGAAATCAAAGAGGTGAAACAAGAAGCATGTCGCATGCCAACAACACTACAAGTCAGCCAACCCCAGAAGCATAGTCCAGCCTTGGAGAATTCAATAAAGAAGATATTGATAAACTGAAACGACTCCTGGTATCTCTTGAAAAATCAAATACATCTTCTTCACTTGCACTCTCATGTAAGAATCCAATTTTTATTAGTTTAAGTGCTTCTAGAAATCATTTAAAGGAATTATGTATCATTGATTCAGGAGCCACAAATCATATGACCCGCTCTCCTACACACTTCGTTAACTATACTCCTTGCCCAAACAACAAGAAAATCATCACTGTTGATGGTTCTCTTACCACGGTAGCAGGCCAATGAGACATAAGATTATCTCCCTCACTCACCCTAAAAAATATGCTCCACGTACCACAATTATCCAAAAACCTGATATCAATACAAAAACTTACCAATGACCATAATTGTCAAGCCTTATTTAACCCTACTTATTGCTTATTTCAAGACCAGAGATCGGGGAAGAATATTGGACTTACTAAGGAGAAAACAGGATTGTACTACTTGGAAGAATCAAACCAATATAAAAATAACTGCTCTTTGTTATCCCTAGTTGATAATAATTCTTCTATTTGGCTTCATCATTATAGGTTAGGACACCCATCTTTTGATGTCCTAAAACATATGTATCCATAACTCTTTCAGAAATTAGAAAATGAAAATTTTCATTGTGAAACCTGTGAGTTGGCTAAACATAAAAGAACCTCCTTCTCAAACAAAAGTGAGAGATGTGATACTCCTTTCTATCTTATTTATAGTGATATATGGGACCCTAAAAAATCCCCAATATCTCTGGGGCATGCTGGTTTGTGTCATTCATTGATAATTGCACTAGAGTCTCTTGGATTTATACCTCCTTAAAAATAAATATGACGTTAGTACCATTCTTCCCATCTTTCATACAATGATCAAAAACCAA